TATGTGTTATTTCAGAACATTATCTATTGCCTTATAAGGCAATACTTTCCAAAAGTATCACTGCCAAACATTTTAGAATAAACACACAAGAAGAAATGCGCACATGCAGACTCCTATTCCGTATTACCTGTAACTAAGATTTGCCTTCCTAAACATTAGGAATCCGTCAGTATATCAGAGCATTAAATAATCAGCTTAACCCCCATACAGAGGAAAACTTGTCTGAGCAAAATTAAAAGTAGTTGGAGCAAACTAGAGGCTGTACTTGTACTACTGGATCAGCTTAACTGTCTAATAAAGTGTTTTCACTACATTCATTAAGGGCAAGAATTGAGATATGTGAAAGAAAGCTACATGAAAACTGGAAGTCTGATGTGTTCATCAACACAACAGCTTTACACTTTTGATTTACACCGTTATCTGCACCATTGGGCACACCAAACATATACAAGAATCCATTCACTTGTGCTCGCTTGTTTTCTAAACCACCTCACTGTTTTTCCTATTGCTGAAGCCCCTTGGGGGACGGGGAATAATAATAATAAAAAAAATAAATTCACAGGACCCCCTGTTTCCTGGCTTAACCATATCTTTTGTGCTTACAATGACATGGATTTACCTAGAGCTCAAAATCTTCTCCTAAATGCAATTCTTGGGTCATTGGCCATTTGCTAGCCTCAAGACCACCTCTAAATTCGTATCTCCCCCTTGATATATCAACATGTGGCACACTAGATCTTTTCTGGGCAGAAAAAACTAGCAGACCAGGCACTCAGCACTGATGGCTCGGAACTTCACTGGAACATTTGTATCCCACAGAAGATTTGCAGGACAGATCTTTCACTATGAATGGAGAGGATATGAGTGAAAGAAAAAAAAAATGCTCTTCACTTGTATTATCAAAGACCCTGACCAAATAAGGGTTAACACGGAGTTTGTAAGCACGCCTTGTTCTGTTTCTAGGGAGGGAGCGGAAGCTAATGAAAAAAAAAAAAAGCAGACTGGCCAAGTTACAATAAAAGTAATTCTTGATTACTTAAAGAATGACAGATAGTAAGTATTTTAAATATTCAGATCACAAAGCATGCAATTACTTCAATAAATACAATCACCTTTCACAAAACTTTCATCTGCTAATAAAACAAACCTACAGGATCATGTTGTGCATTTCAACCATTTACATCTCTTCTCCCTCCTGGTACACACAGGGGGTTTTTATTTCTTTTTAAAATGGGCCTTTGTTTCTTATTTCCTACAACACTTCATCTTTTAATTTGGTGAAGTACTTCATCCCTTGTTTGGGTTATATTAACAGTTAGCAAGACATCCTGGCTCCTCTTTTTAAAGCTCTTAAAATTCCTGTTATGCCATTTGTTTCTCATCAATCCCCTGCTTACCAAAAGATTTTTTTCAAATCAAAGCTTGTAATGACTTGACTGTTTTCTCTTCCATTGCTAATACATTAATTCTTAATAAAAAGCTATCTCAAGCTAGTTTTAATTTTGCTTTACCTGTAACAGCCTGTTCCATACATGCAAGGTGTCCTCTTATGCTTGATCTGTTTGGAGCTTTCTGAAGCATCTGCACTTCTGGTTGAATCAGAAATCTGTGTCTCGTAATCCAGATTTGCATCAGGCTCAAGAATACCTTCCTGGGCACCAAAATATTGAGAAGTCCTGCCCCAGTGAGCTTGTTGGCTTGTAGAACCAGTAATCTGCTCTTTGTTTTCTGTTTCCTCAATTCTATTTTCTTTACTGGAGATCTGACCTACTCTTTTAGACCATTTACTATGCAGCTGCCTATCATTTTTTTCCAGAGAACTTCCAGGGTTTTTTGTTCCAGTCTTGCCATTTCCTTCCATGTTTCTCATGGCACTCTCAAGAGGAAATCCAGATGTATTCTGTGGAACAAGGTTACATTTTGAAGGACCTGAAAATTTACAGTCTTCAGAATTAAAAGCTTTAAGGTCAAACTCTGCCTCATCTCATCATTCCTGTTTTCAAAAACCCAGAGAATCATAGAACAGCCCAGGTTGGAAAGGACCTCAAAAGATCATCTGGCCCAGCCTTTAAAACCTACTCCACTTTCCAAACTCAGGTTAGCCACTAAATACAGCTGCTGAATGAAAGGCTCAAGTTAAGAACACACATGCACAATTTAAAGGCAAACTTAGCCTATAGCTCCTGTCCTCAGCTTCAGTTCCCTCACAACACGGTCAGCCTCCCCTCTCGTCACCTCAGTTCATGAATAGTTCTTGGACTTTAGTTTAAATTAACTTTCAATTAAAAGTACTGCTCCTGAAAAATGAGCAGGGGTTATACATGTGAAGGTGTAGTAGACTCTAGAAGAACATACACTCCTATATGAGAATAAGTTTTAATCCCTTAATTACCAAGATACATGGAATATATATATTTATCTATATATGGGAGAGATATAGGAATTCATGATATACACCTCAAGCTTAATCCCACCCCGATATACCTTAAATGCTTCAGCTTGTGACTCTGAATCATAAAAGAGTTTGTCTGTAGATACCATCAGGCACAGATTTCAGTTTTGACAAATACTGCATTTTAAGTTTTGGAACACACGTACATTTAAAAATAAGAGAAGTGTGCTTTAGAAAAAGAAAACGAGATACACAACCAAGAAAAGAAATTGTCCTGCTGACTGAGACATTACCCGGAGGCACACCTACATTGAAGGCTGAACTACTTTAATACATTACAGAGGTATCCAAAGGTCTCTGCTCTCTACAGTCTATTATCTACATTCCCCCTCCAATAAATTTATACTTAGTTTACACAGATGTGTTTGGCAGAGCTTGAAAATCAGCTGGTGGATTCCCATTTGATTTTGTTCCTTTCAATGCAAGCCTCATAAAATGTTAAAAAAAAACAGAGACAATTACATTTGAGCAGCAATATGATTAAGAAAGGACAAAAGTCAGCATTAATATCAAATGATCCTGACAGCAGCATATTTAGTAAGTCAAATTGGAGACAAAGATGATTCTTTTATCAAGACTCCCCAAATAAGGCTCAGCAAACAACTGGAGTTTAGGAGATAAGCCTTCATTTGCAAAAGGAGGACTAAACTACTCTAATTTGCCACTCCCACTTGAGACTTCGCTACTGCATACTTCCATCCATTGCCTATATTGTATATAATGAGGCTAAACACTTTCACATTTATTATGGTGACTAGTTAAAAAACAGGTTGCAATCAAGGAAAACCAAAGACAACAGCACTACTGGCACTGGTTATAACACCATTTATGACCTCACTGTCATCTGGCAGTTGCTGGCACTTAGAAGAATTAAGATTCTTTTTACTTCCTACTTCACAGCAAATCTTGTCAATCACCTTAAATATGACAGCAGGAAAATTATTTTGATTTTGATATAAAAATTCCAGTCTTTTAGAGCTCTCTCTGATTATTACTTTTGCTTGCACTAACCCGCTATTTTTTCTGCAAAGTTCTGAGGGCAATTTCTTACACTGTGCTAGAGATAAAAGTGATTTATGAAATTATTAGGAGAAAACAAGTAAAGATTCATACTTACAAATTGCAAAATGAGATAATTCATTATGTAGTCACTCACCTTATAATTTAACAAAGAGAAAATAGCACTGCAGCTGGTATTAATGTACCCAGCCAACAAAGCAGCTCACCACTCAGAACATTTTTTCAGAGTAAAAGATATCACTAAGTTGTATCAAAACTACCCTGAAGGGTATGCTCTCCATGAGGAGGTCACTTCAATTAACCTTAAGATTTAATTAAAACCAAAAACCAAGCCCCAACTGTTTCATTGTCAAAAACGATGAAGCATACCAAATAATAGTATTTTAAGTATTTTATCAGATCCTAGAACAGATCCAGGCAATTCTAATGCTAGAGATTAGAAATGCCTCCCCAGGTTGTTCACTTAAAGGAAAAGTCAGTGAAAGCTTCACTTTACTCCCACCAGAATATGTTTTATTTGTCTTTGATAATGATCCTTCTCTTTTCATTATCAGCAGGGTGCTATCGGGAAGCATTTAACTGCCTATAGACACAGCTGTATTTTAAAGACACACAGACACATTGAACAGCTGGACTGAAGTGTGTCTGTTTGCTCATCGCCACAGACCATTTTGGATTTCAGATTATTTTTTTCCCCTCTTTCCTTTTTTTGACTCAGATTTTGAGACAGTAGCATAAGCACACTCACTGCCATCTTTCTTCAAAACATAGCAGTTGCTAAGACACATACCATAATTTTCTGACCATAAAACTTCACCAACTAGAATGGCACTAGTCTGGGAAGCATCCAGTGTCATACCATCACCTATCCCTAAAGGGTTCTCAGAAAATGAAACCACACACCAAGACACTCCTAGGATCAGTACTTTGGCCCATGTCTTCCAGCCTCTTTCTGTAAAGCTGGAAATCAGGTATTTCTGTGGAACATTCGGGGCATAAATCCCAGATTCCAAGAAGAAAGTACAGAAAACCAAGTCTCCAGGATCCTTACTACAGAGCTGTCCAATGGGCTGGCATTTCAAAACAACTGTTAAACAACAAATCACAAGCAGAACACATAGTTACGTTGTGGACCCAATCTTCAATGTGAAATTGCCAACTACATTCTCATTTTTTGAAATGCCATGGTTCCGTCCTAAGCCAAAAAATTACCTGAGATGAAGGGACAGGGATGAAAAGACAGCTCCTTTTCCCTTGATCTTGCTCTTCACCTTCAAAATCCTCTATAGTTTCTTCAGAAGCTAATCTTTTTTTCTGCTGTACGTTTACTTCTGATTTTAATGACTCCATATTACTTTCTCCCCTTCCTTGGCCTTTATTCATTCTACTACCTTAAAAGAAAAATAAAAGGGTACTTTTGGAAAGCAACTTTTTACAGTGAAATCCTGATCACATTAGAAATCTAAAGCTACATCAAAGCAGAACACTGGGTAAGCAGCACAAGAAACATGTATGCTGTTTCAACAACACATTTTTCACTTCCCTCTTATGGAAGTATAAAGTATGTTTTAGAATGAAATAGATTTGAGGGAGAAATCTGAAGGAAAATAATAAACATGTGACAAAATATTCTGGACTGACTGTATCAGTATGACAGGCAATTTCATTTACACAATAGGAGCTGATCAAATAAACCAAATGTCCAAGGAGAACTTTTACCACAGTCCTTTTGAGTAAATATCATTTCAGGCTACCAGTTTATACACACAAACATCAATTAATTAGGACATGGCAAAAATCAGGGTATGCCCACTTGCCTAGTCAACCACATCAGAATTGATTATTTCATCAGCCAGTGACCAATAGAAAGAGAGCAAATGTTGTGCCTCTATTTGGAAAGCTTCGCATCCCAGTAAGTTCTCTGTACTGAAGTAGTATTTTCTAGACATACAGCTTAGAGACAGCTAGGGCCATTAAGGCAGTCTTGTTATAGCTCCATCTGCTGCAACACATTCAGAAGAAAAATGCTTGATGTCATTTTGCAAGACTTCAAAAACTCTCCTCCTTCAAAAAAATACAGACGTGACAGGGATATCTGTAGGAAGCAAGGAATTTTTCCAAATGTTAATGTCTGACTTCAAAAAACCAAACCAGTGTTCCTTTTCCAGTAGGAAGATACACAGAAGAGAAACAAAAGGGCAGCCTTTTCATTTTACTCTCTACCTTTTCATTCAATACCACCCTAAAAAGATGCAAATAATTTCACAGTTTTAAGGAAACATGAGATTTGCAGACGAGATTGGTTGTTTTATTAATGTAGCCTATTCTAAGCTGGAATCATTCTCTCACATAATGAATTTTTAAACGGCTCCAATAGTGTTTGTATGCATCCCTAGCTCCCTCAAGGTCAGGCCTTTGACAGCACACAGACACCCCTTGTCCACACAGCTCCAAATCTTAGCACCTGCCCAATCAAAATGTTGTCTTTGAAACAAACATTATACACAGATATATAACAAACATTATAGTACTTGTGGAGGAAAAACAAAACAAACAGAAAACCCCACCCACAAAAGAAAACCAAAACCCAAACATAAAAAAACCAATCACACTAGGGCAGGACTAAAAAACTCAACATAGCCAGCAGACGTCCACTGGTTCATGCAATTTTTTACATCCGAGGGAATAAGGCAGCAGGGAACAGTCTAGATTTGAAAGGCAGAGGAGGGGAATTAAAGTTTCTTTTGCTTCTTATAATTTTCTCAGAATTAGCTTTTGAGGAAAGAAATAGGCAGGGTAACAGATGGCTTACGACAGAGATGTTTAAAGCCAGAGTTGCCCAGGTCAATCCATCCAGACATCTACATTTACTATAGGAGATAAGCAGCAATTAGTCAGACGCTACATGAAATACTTCTGCAGGCCTGCTGAGGCATCAAGAGCCAAATTTTTCCATTACACCATCTCAGCAGAAATAGCAGATGGAAACAGAGGCATTAAAGAAAAGCTGTTGGACACAGAGGAACAGGGGCACACACATGAGCCACAGTTCATACACTTAGGCTGCCTAATGGAGGAAACTCAGCAGTTAGCACCTAAACCACCTCACACCTCACCACAGAACAGCAAGCAGGGTGAAGCGTGCAGTATTCAGCACGGAGAAAGACAGAAACGCTGAGGGAGCACTGTTAATGTACGTAGTCATTTTCCTTCTCTCATTTCTTTAGTCCTCCAGTTCCATCAATAAAAGTAACCAAAGCAATAAATGCCTTGTGATGTTTGTCAGAGAATGCCTAACAGCAGTTTTAGAACTCTTTACAAGCTCCCAGGACCAAAGCTGGACATGCCTCTTCTTGGGATTGTGCCAATGCAGCACCCTTGTGTCTCCCATTGATAGAGACTAAACATAGCATTCTGCTGCTGCTACCACTGATACACAGTAGTAAAAGTTTATCATACATTCCCTCTTGTCCTTCCTACAATGGGAAATTGCTGAATGCAATACTATTTTAGCCTCATACTAGTAAGAAACTACTATAACATGATGAACTACTCCTCCTAGGAAGAAACTTTGGACTAAGTAATCAAGTCTGATTCAGTCACGATTAAAAAACACACACCATCACCCAAAACCCCCCACCTTTAAAACCTGTGAAATGAGAAGAATCCAAATTTAGAAGGGCAATCAATGACTCAAATGTGGAAAAGGCTTAGAATTAAAGGCACAGAAACTACCAAGAGTTTATGCTCTAAACAAAACAGGTGACTTTACAGGAAAGGGCTCCAGAACATCAGATGTTCAGCTGTCCAAAGAAAGTATATTACCTGGCATAAAAAAAAAGAACAGAAAGAAAATCAACTGATCAGAAAGAGCTCTGGCACACCTGTAGGACTGATAACAAAGGAGACAACAGAAGTTAGCCCCTCTCAGCTGCCAGGCATAGAACACGGAAAGAGAAATAACACATTAACACTTTCTACTACCACAAATATATTTTAAGAAAATGAGATCAAAGCACGTAATTGTGTATTGGTGTGCAAACACACTACACTGCAAACCTACCTCTTTTCATTACAGGCTCAGAAATCCTCTGAACCAGGAGGTCTCTTTCCAGCATCCAAGATGGAAGCACTCTCTTTCTTTGAATAGATTTTGACTGTTCACTTTCATGATCATCATCAGGAGGAACCTGAAAGAATATTTACTGTTTAGTACCTTTCTCCAGTTACAAAAGAGGTGGAAGAACTAGAACACGAGTTTGTACACAGTTATGTCCTTCAAATGCAGCCTGGAGAACCACCTACTTTTTGGATGGTCCGTCAATACACCCCCCCCTCCCCAATCCTGCTCACTCAGGAAAACAACAGCTATAGAAACCTTCATGTAGTAAAAAAACCTCCTTAGATCTTTGAAATAAGTATCTAAAAGGCTACCATGTTGTTAGTGCAAAATATTCTTGTAGCAATAGCAATTTTTGTATATTCCAGACAACGAATTAACTGCAGTGTAGTTATCATAAATACACAACAGAAGCATATTTATATACTTGTATATCATACAATTCCAATCAATAAAACAACAGATATTTTGAGCATACAACTTTGCCAGAATTTACTTCGCACGGGGGGGAGGGGGGGAAACAAGGTTTATAAAACCTTTACTTCATTTTCAACACATGCTTACAAATATTAAATTCAATTTAAAAGTTAAGCACCCACCAAATGTCTGGAAGCAGCGTCATTTTTTCTCATTTTTGCAGTTCCCTGTATCTCAGGGTTGGAACATGCCGGTTCTATTAACGATGGACTACAAGACATCTCAAGAGGATGAAGAGTTGGTCCTCCGTCTGCATCAGCCTCCTGATGTTTTTCTGAGACAGCAAATTAACTTCTAGCTAGTCAATCTCATCATGAATATAAACATGTACTTAAACACAGAAGTTGGTCTGAATGTTTGCCATTAATACGCTTCTAAACTGAATGTAACACTCTTACATCAGCTTACAGAGGAAAAAACCATGCCTGCCTTTCCAGCTTCCACTGAAAGTATTTTGAACCAAAGATTTTTCCAATTGCTGCTGACCCCTACTGTAGTGTGTTTTGGCTTTTAAGTACATAATTTATACTAGTCACTGCCATGACAAAACTTTGAGAAAGCTGAAATTGCAGCTTAGCATTTGCTTTACTGTAAGCCTGTGCAACTTCTCAAAATTTTATTCTATACTAAAAGTCAGGTAACAGCACTAAGATAGTTTTCTGAACCAGATGCCTAATGAATCCAGCACTTCTTGTTCTCACCAAAGGCTGCAAGTCTGCAGCTCTGAGGTGACACTGCATACTCAAGTGCTTGAAGCTGGTTTTAAACGCCTCTGGCTCAGAGCCACCACATCCGAAATGCTTTTCGGTCATGAAAGTGCTCCGAAACTGTAACTGTTTTCCCATCAAGGCTTTGCCCTTCTTCTAGGCAATTCACTAGCACAGAAGATTAGGGGGGAAAGGGCCTGATGCCCGCTGCACAGCGCCACTCGGGGAGTCACTGTGTCCCTTCCACAGCTTTTGGCATTACACGGGCAGCACACGCTGAGCAGCCGAACTTTTCTGCCGTGAAGCACAAGAGGCCAAGCTCTGGCCAACCCCCGCCCCCGCTTTCCCAAACGGGCCCCTCCAGGTGCTTCTCGGGAGGTTTCGGTTCTGCACGGGCTCCCCCCGCCCTTCCCACCCGCGAGGGAGCAACGAGCCCGGACGCGGGGCTCCAGTCTGTGCCCCTCCAAACGCAGCGGCCCAAGGCACAAAACACCACTGGCCTCGGGGGGGCGGGGGAGC